GTTCCTTGAGCTTAAGAAATGCTGAGCGAGTTCGACCCTTCTGGTTTTCTGACTCCAACTCCTTGCACATTTCATTGTAATATTTTACTTTGTCATCTCACGCTGCCTTTTGAAATCTTCTGTTCAGCTCTTTAGTATCTTGAATTTTTCCTTGTGCTTTCACTTCTCTGTGCTGCAGTGCTATATTCAGAGTTTCTTCTCACATCCATTTTGGTTTTTTCTTCCTCTTCTGTCTTTGTAATGACCATTTGCACTCTTCTTAGATGATACCCTTGATATCATCCCACAACTCATCTGGTCTTCGTTCATTCATGTTCAAGGCCTCAAACCTGTTCTTGAGATGGTTCTGAAATGCAGGTGGGATAGACTCAAAGTTATATTTTGGTTCTCGTGGATTCGGTTTAATTTTCCTCAGCTTCAGCTTGAACTTGCATATGAGTATTTGGTGGTCTGTTCTACAATCAACTCCGGGCCTAGTTTTCACAGCTGATATTGAGCTTCTCCAGCAGTTCCTTCCACAGATGTATTCAATTTGATTCCTATGCATACCATCAGGTGAGATCCAGGTGTATAACCTGCGTTTATGTCTCTTAAAAATGTGTTTACGATGAATAAATCATTGTGCAAAATTCAATCATTCTATCTCCAGCTTAATGAAAGTTTAATGCTATTTTGCATTTGTAAGATCTATATTACCATCTATTATAAACAGCAAAAGAAATCTGAAAATGTTTACATTTAAAAAATAATAAACATTCAGCATTCGTTTTGTAGCAAATCACTAAGGGGCAGCACATACTTCAAGTAGCAACAATGGTATTGCTAAGCTTCTTCCCTGAGAACTACAGTACTATATGATAAATATATCATTTCTACTTTATATAGACTGAATTTATTATATCATTCCTGCTTTCATTTTACTGTAGTGTTATTTTAGGTTTTATGTGTTATTAAAGCATGATTTGGTAGGCTATTTTTTGGGTCAGGGAATGTTAAAAATTTGTTCCCATATAAATCAATGATAATTACATTTTATGTACACCATTTCAGCTTTCAAAATGTTTCATAGTAATGCTCTGCTTTCGAAAAACTTGCATAAAACAGGATTCTAGATTAGATGCTGGGTAATGCTCCAGAGGGTGGAAGGATGATGGGACTAGGTAAGGTGTCATTAATAGAGACTATGAATTCAAATGTACAGAAGACTACTGCCTCAAATCTAAGCTGCCTAAGTAACAAAAATCGTACTGTGGTTACGTAGATGTAGAATGCTCCTCTTTCTCCGAGACAATACTAAAATATTTAGATAATATATGTCTTGACCTCTGTAACTAATTCTCAAATGAGTCTGGAAAAAGAAGAGTGAAATATGTAATCTATTAAAAGAGAAACATAAAAAGAGAGAATGAAAAATGCCCATATTTAAAAAGAGAAAAGAAATGTAAAGCCAATGTGGCACAAGAGTAACAAATGAGATGTGGTGTTAGTTTAAAAGGTGGCTTTACTCGCCATTACCCACCTCTGGCTTTTCTAGCCATTAGCCTACTCTGCTCTCTAGCTATCTTAACTGTAGATTTACAGTACTACAAATCATCAAGAGCTATGGGACTAGGATCAAAGATAGAGAGAGAGAGAGAGAGAAAGAGAGGGAGAGAGGAAGAGAGGGAGAGAGGGAGGGGGAGAGAAGAAGAAGGGGGAAAGGTGCAGAGAGAGAAGGGGAAAGAACGGGATAAAGGAGTGAGGGAGAGAGAGAAAGTGCAAGACTTGAGCGAGACTGGAGCAATACCCTTGCGAGAGCCAGACCAGAATGAGACACTGGTGAGAGCAAGGTGTGACCTGAGGCTTCTTGCATTTGTGCTGGCCACAGTTGAAGATTTCGCTGTTCTGACCAGATGAAGCAAAGAGAAGCTGATTCGTAACTGCTCTAAGACAAACCTTGCTGGATGACAGAATACAGGAAACCAGAAGCTTACTGAATTTGTGCAGCTGAATTGGAACCAGGACTTTGAATTATTAAGGAACTGTGTTTTATTGTTGCTCTGACTTGGGATGCTGGACTAAACCTGAACTTAAACTGTGAGATATTCTTGCCTCTCTCCCTACCCAACGTATTTCCCTAATAAACCCCATTCTTGGTACCACAACTGTAAGTAAAGACCCTGGGTCAACAATGCTCATCAACCCAGTGATTGGTGGAAACAGGTGCAGAAGCATGGGAGGTAGCGTGTTTGACCTAGCAGCTGCTCTCTATTTGCTGCTGTGGTATTGATGGGGATAGTTCCCCTTTATGAAGCGGTCAGACTCGGACATCCCTACTTGCCATTTATTCTTTTGCATGAGGTATATGGGAGTTCACTGTTTTTCTCATAATCTCTAAGAGAGCATGACATTTTTTCAAAATAACGATAGTTAAGTTCATAATAAAGTGAAAAGTGCTACATAAATCTTAGGTATTTATTCTCTCAGCATCAAAAAACATTCTAATTTTATTTTTAATTGACATGTTTTAACTATATAATAAAACAGTAACTTTCTAAAGTTGTTGTTGTTGTTGTATACTATAGAGTCAGAATGAACTCATAGCTGACCCTCCAGTGTGTTTTCAAAGGCAGATAATCACACAGGAGGAAACTGTCCATCCTTCTCCCACAGAGCAGCTGGTGGCCTAGAACCACGTGCCTTCTTTCAGATTTGCAGCATAACTTCTTGCCGCTGGGCCACCAGAGCTCCCTCTTTCTAAAGTATGAAAGATAAAAAAATGCTGCTTTCTAGGCATCAGAGATGGGCAAGCATCAAATTATTTCATTAGCAGCCCAACACTAACCTACAATGCCACCAAGATTCTTAGTTTACTGGAGGCTCAGAAAAATATTTTCTGATAGAAAATTTATCTGGAAACCAATTTTTCCTCAAATTGAATTTCATATGGCACAAACTATTTAATAAATAACAAGGAATACCATAAGTGGTAACAGTAAAATATACTGACATGAAAGGTAAAATGTCAAAATTTTAAACATGAACACATGATAAATGTTGGCATTAACTAAAGCTCTGGTAGTACCACCAATCACTGCTCAGGGAAAAGATGAGGCAGGTTCTACCTGTAAAGATTTAGCCTTAGAAAGGGAGGGAGGCTCAGTAAGAGTCGGTGGCAGTACAGCAGCACTAACAAAAGTTTTCAAAGATCCACACATTAATTGCAAAAAGGTACACTTTGAAACAAGGAATATGAAAGAGTATTACTGACTATATTCTTAAAAGATTAATTCATTTAGACATGAATACAAATAAAACTTCTGCCTCAAAATAGGTACATGCATTCCTCGAGATCAAAGCATCAATTTGATATATTTTACTCTTGTGGTATAGTAGGTTGATTTTCAAAATGACTTCCTCAGCCCACTACTTTGACTGTCATCACCTGTCAAGGTGGGGTAATGCTAATGATATGAATAAGGCAAATAGTACCTTCTGGGCATGAATGTGCAAACAAGGTGTATAGATACTAATGAAGGGAATGGTCAGTCTTGCCATGTGGCTGTGTTTATACTGAGCAGAATTAGAAGCAGAAGGTCACTATCAGGAAAAAAGGAGCAGCACAGAATGTAAAGCAAGTCCCTAGAGGTCACAGAGATTTCTGTGCCAAACAGATCAAGATACAGGTAAAAGCACTAACAGCAGCATCAAAACCAGAGTTATACATGAGTCAGAGCTCATCTGGGACAGCACCTCGACAGAACCCGAGCCAGGGACATTTGCCGAAGTTTGCTGGATGCCTGGGGAGAGAGATTTCAGTTAGTAGACATAAGAGAGTTTTGTAACTCTGACGTTAAGCTGCAGGGTTGATGGTCAAAAAGCCTACGAGTATGCTCAAGAAGCCGTCCTGACTGAAGGATGGCATACCGTTTATAACTTGAATTGTAAAATGCTAACTTACACAATAACAAACACTATAATCTTATTACAGTTGTGTGTGACTTGAATTGTAACATGCTAACTTACACAATAACAAACACTATAATCTTATTACAGTTGTGTGTGACCATTTCAAAGGATAAGAAGACCCAGGAGAGGAGTGAGAGTCCTAAGAGAAATGGTTGGCTTTAGAATTGGTAGAAGGTGGCTCAGATGACACGAAGACATGTCTGACCTCAAAGGACTTGGTTTTGTGTAGTGGCTGTTGATGGGATTCTTCTCCCTGTGGAACTGGTGAAGGTTGAATTCAGTAGCCTTTATGCAGGCCAAACATTTTTATACATCAATATACACAATCTACCTGGTGGCAATGAGTTTGGTGCTTGATTTTTCTTTTTCTCCTGATTTATTCTTAGCTAAAAGAAAACATATCTCCAAATAAAAGAAAGTTAATCTCCAAATCTTTTCTACCAGGAGGACCTGGTCTATTTTATGTTTAAAATGTAATGATAAACAGTTACATAAAACTCCAGAGATAAAAATATAAATCATTCCTTAGATGTACTATACAAACATAAAAATTTATGCAATCGGACATTCTATTTAGAAAACTTGAACAGGTAAGATATGTAGAAAATGTGTCTTACTTGTTCATTAACTTTCTTCTCTTTTTCCAACTCCTTTTCCATATCCTCCAATTCTCTATCTTTTTGTTCCAATTGCTTTTCAAGTTGACGGATTTCATCCCTTAAAAATCGAGTATCACGCCCACCTGCAGACTGCTGTGCCATCTTAATGTAACAGAACAAAAATTCAAATTAGGGCAGAGGGAAAGGTGGGTAAAAACCATGGGAAAGATCTAGTGTGAAAACAACATATATAAATTTTGTAAGTAAGCCAGTACAAAATAATAATTTTATTTAAAAAAAAATTCAAATTATTCTAACTCTACTTGAAAATCCAAATGAGTAAAAAGAATAATTATCCTGATTAAAATGTTTATTGAACTTTGTTACATGCCATCGACTGCAACTCACAGCGACCCTCTGCACAACAGCTATGAATCCTGCCCTGTCCTGAGCCAGTCTCCTGACTCCAATGCACCTCCCGTCACTGCCTCAGTTACTACGTCAATCCATCTCATCGGGGGTCTTCCTTTCCTGCATTGTCCCTCCACCCTTATAAGCGTGATGTACTTCTCCAAGGATCAGACCCTCCTGGCCACGTGCCCAAAGTATGTGAGACAGAGTTTCCCAAACTATGTCTCCAAAGAGAAACCTGGTTTCACTCTTTCAAGACAGACCTAATTGTTCTCCTGGCAGTGCACAGTATGTTCGGTACTCTTCTCCATCACAACAATTCAAAGACTATAACTGAATTTTAAATATTTCAAATGATACTAGTTTATAAACAAGCTTTTAAATTTACCTAATTTTAGCTTTTGCTCAAAGGCTGAGGAATTCCTACCCCCACCCTTGCCCTTGCTCTGTTTCTATCTATCACTCTAGCTCTTCCACAGTCCCTGAGCTACAGCAACATACTAAAAGGGAAAGAAGGCTTATTAAGTAGGCAGTGAAATATCAAGACTTTTCCTGAGCATCAGAGTTCTGATACCAGGCTGCATACCAGAAGAGGCTCTGTCCTAGTCATTGAACCTGGGCATCTTTAACTTATTCTTCCTCTACCACCTAAAACTGCTTTTATAACAGGACTAATATTGCTGGGATAACAGAAATGTTCTCTGTACTATGTTTGCTACAGCAGTCACAAGTTAGACAGGAACATAAAGCACCTGAAATATGGCCTGTACACGAGAGGAAATGAATTTTTAATCATGTAAATAGACGTAAAGAGCCACAGTGGTTAGTACTACAGTACTAACCATTTTCAAAGGTGGTAAATGTTTACAGAAACATTTGTCCTATCTTTCTCCTGTGGAGTAGCTGTTAGGTTTGAATAGCTGGCCTTCAAGCAAGAGCTATTAATTCTATGCCACCAGAGTCCTTTCCATTAAAAGCCATATTAAATAATTTCCGTATCATGTAACTTTCAGTCAAATCTCTTCCTCTTTTATACCCCTCCTGATTACACATCTTCCCTACCCCCAAGGCCATACTGGATCCTAGACAAACAAACACAACCTATTAGTCTCACTATACCAGGCATCCATCCTCTGACCTCGTAAGATTCTCTAATCTCTTGACTCCTTCTCTTTTTCTTCCATCTCTTTGTTATCCTATCCTCTCCAATTGGGGCTTCTTTATCTATTATTGTTGGTGTGTACATCAAATCAGAACTGACCCATAGCTGACGCTCCAGTGGGTTTTCAAAAGCAGTTTAATAGCATGGGAGGAGATTGCCTATCCTTTTCCTGCAGAGCAGCAGGTGGATTCGAACCATGTGCCTTTTGGATTCCAGCACAGGTTCTCACCATGAGGCCATCAGAGTTCCCTACTATCACAACTAGAATGCAGTTTGAAAGCTATCAGCAGGAGCCAAGTTCTACAGAAGCTTGTTGGCTGGGACTGGTGAGCATTAGGGTAGAATGTTGATTTGCTAAGGGGAGTGAGCTGATGGGATCTGGCCTCCTATCTATAAACCCATTAGGGCTCAAAGACTGCAGGTTTAAATTGTTTTTTGTCAAATGTTCTTCTAAGTGGTATAGCATTGGTCTGTGCATTGCTGTACAGAAGTAACTTGTGGTTGCTGTGATGCTGTGACACTGATGTGCCAAATGCAATAATGGTTACCCATGGTGAACAGTGTTTGGTGGAGCTTCCCAACTAAAAAAAGCTTGGAGCAGGAGTAACGTCCACTTCTGAAATGGCCTGCCTCCACAAACTCTATAAACATGGAGAATTGACCAAAGTTATACAAGTGTTCAGGTCTTTCATTCATAGGGTCACTATGAGTTGCCTACAACTCAATAGCACTTAACAACAACAACTAACATTTTCAATAGTTCTACTTTTCTAGACTTCTACAGCAGCTGCCCAGATAAACATTATTACCAAATCAATCCAATAGAAAAAAGTCAAATAATGATTATTTCATTTTTTTTAGATTTGTGTCAAATGCGTTAATGGCTGGTTACCCAATGTGGACAGAGAGTGGGGTGGAGCTCCCCGATTAAAATAAGCTTGGAAGCAGGAGCAGCATCCACTTTGGTAATAGTTTGCCTCCAGAAACCCTATGAACCTGGAAAGAGGATGACAGACACCCAAGTGATGAGGACTCTCCTTCATAGGGTCGCTATGAGTCGCCTGTGACTCAACAGCACTTAATAACAACATGATAAACAATAGGGAGCTCTGGTGGTATAGTGAGTGGTACAAAGCTGGACTGCAATCCCAAAGGCATGGAGTTCATATCTATGAGTTAATCTGTGCTGTTTCTGAAAACCTGCTGGAAGGTCAGCTATGAGTCAGTTCCAACTCAATTGTACTCACCAAGCAGCTATGTAATAGATAATATGCAATAATTCGTTCAAGAGAACAGAGGAAGCAAGGGAAAAAATTCAGGATGAAAAAATTTAGGATTTTACCTTAAGTCTGAATAATTATAGATCGCCTACATTCCAGTCCATTCTCTACTATATATATTTCAAGCTTCTCTGCCTTACTTAACATTTGACATCATCTTCTCCCTGGATAGTCTCTTCTCTCTTATCTCAATGTCCACGTGCCAAACCTAAACATAAAAGCTTCTACATACATCCACTCTTTTTTAAATCTTAATAAACACACAAAAAAAGAGTATTTAGTACTCTTTCTACTCTCTCAGAAATCTTAGATGTTCATTTTCTCAATCAGGCATTATGAGCCTATATCGTTGCTCTCTCAAAAAGCTAATTCTCAAACCACATTTCAGTATTCTGTCACTTTTCCTCATATACCCACCTTAACCTATTCTATGTCAATCAGTAATCATACTTCTGTAACATGTAAACTCTGTAAAATTAATGACTATTTTTTAACTGTGTTGCACAGAAAATTTTGTATACATTGTGTTTCATTCATGTACATTGTATTTAATACAATCTTCCATTTACATTGTGTTTCATACAATTTTCACATACCTTATATTTTATAAAATTAATTACTATTGATCTATGCCTCTTATAATCCTGGCTTTTTTTTTAAATTTTATTATTTTTTTGTGTGTACCGTCAAATCGGATCTGACTGGTACAGAAGGAGATTGTTCCTCCTTCTCCAGCAGAGCATCTGGTGGATTCAAACTGTGTACCTCTTGGATTGCAGTGCAGTTTCTTGCCACTAGGCCACCAGAGCTCGCCAATCCTGGCTTTCTGAGTCCCCACTGAATGTTTCCTATTCTTTCACACTCCTCACTATCGGCCCACCAAATTCTGTTGTCCCAGTGATTTCCCATCTTCCCCGTTTCCTGCCGCCTTTCACCTTTGGACCTTTCACCATTTATATACATAATGGTCTTATCTTTAAATCAATAATAAAAAATAATAAAATTGATGACAATTAAACTACAGGGAAAACAAAACGACATACCTCCAGTTCATTTTCCAGTTTCATCATTTTACTTTTTAATTGATTTTCTATTAAAGAAACCAAGAAACACATGTAAATTGAATAGATCTATTCCAAATTAAACTTCTAAGTAAATTTCAATAATTAATAAAACAAATTGATTTAAAATTTAAGATTCTCTGTATTGCCTGTTGTTGCTATGTACTATCGAGTAAGAACCCACACACAGCTGACCCATCAGTGGGTTTTCAGAAGCCCAAGGGAGTAAGTTATAGGGGAGCAGACTGCCCTCTTTCTATCCACACAGCAGCTGGTGGATTCGAATCAAGGACCTTTGCACTGGCAGCACAACTGCTTACTGCTAAGCCACCAATGCGCCCTAATCTATTTTGTTGTTGTTAGGTGCCATTAAGTGTGACTCAAAGCGATTCTGTAAACAACAGACCTGAACCTTGTCCAGTCCAGTGCCATCTTCATTATTTCTTACATACTCGAGACTACTGTAGCACTCTCACTGTGTCAAACCAGCTGGTTGAGGGTCCTCCTCTCTTTTGCTGACCCTCCACCTTTCTAAATATGATGTCCCTTTCAAAGGATTAGCTTCTCCCAACAACATGCTCAACGTGAGACAAAACTTTGTCAACTTTGCTTCCAAAGAGCACTCTGACTCTACTTTTCCCAAGCCATATCTGTTGGTTCTTTTGGCAGTCCATGACCTATTCAGTACTCTTCTCGAGCAATACAACATAAAGTTATCAATTCTTCTTCAGTCCTCCTTATTCACTCTCCAGTTCTCTGATGAATAGCAAGTAATTGAGAAGACCATGGCCTGAGTTGGGCATACCTTAGTCTTCAAACTAACATCACTGAAACGATACAGATGGTGATAGTAAAGTAACATTATAGAAAGTAAAATTGTGTCTTGAAACCTACAAATTAGGCATACTAGAAAATAACTTCAGAAATAAACATTTACAATTTATACAACATAGATTTCATTTTTGTTATATATTAAATGGAATTTGCCATTTAAAATCATACACAACCTTACTTTCCTAAGGCACTTACCAAATTTTGCTTGCTCTTCACCAGCTTTTTCAACTTCTTCCAATGCTAACTCTACTTCTTGGGCTTTCATCTAAACATGAAAATAATTATAATAAAAAAAATTTCAATATACCTTAATGGTATATATAAGTATTATGAATTTTCTTTCCCAATAAGCATTAAAAACAAGGATTTTATTTTCCATTCCAATTTTTGGTAGCTCCGGTGGCACAGGCTGAAGGGAGATTCAACGCTAACTCAATGGCCACACCTCTCTGATAGTTCAAATCCACCAGTAGCTTTGAAGGAGAAAGATGGGTAATCTACTATCATGCAATTTATGGACCTGAAAACACAATAAATGCTAGCAATGAGTCTGTTCCAACGATATATTTTTATACCTTTCAACAGTGGTTCAAAAACCTTTAATGGCACTTCATTGGTGAAAGCATAAAATAGATTTGAAAGGCTTTCCACAGCCTACACAAAAACTACTCACCAATGTTATAGCTTTTCAATCTCAAAACTCACTGCTTTCTCATCTGACCTTTGACTTTCCATTGGGTTTTGTGTGTATCTGTGTGTGTATAAATCCTGAGGCACCATCAGTGGATTAGAACCAGCAGACAGGGTGGACTTTTGGTTATTAGTACAATACACTACTAACCAGAGCTCATTTTATTTCCTTACAACTCATTAAATATTTTCTACAGCTATTTCTCCATGTGTGAAAAAGCAGCACATTTTGTATTTCATCTTTTAAGGTTATCTCCAGCTCTCAAATACCCTTGCCAGCTACTTACCAAAGACTGGTTGTCAGTTCTTATCCTTTATGAGATTACTCCTAATTCTTTAAAAAAGCTCTCCCCTAACAAGTACTGTCATTAACCGCATTATTCATGTAGACCTCAGCATATACGTTTTACTTTCAAACTTAACCAGTTTCCCCTATATATTCTTGTAGGACTATAAGAATTAGCAATGTTTTGCTCACTGAAATTTCTTATAGTAGAAAATATTTTTGAGGCTTTATAAATATTTACATAGAAACTGTCTAAAATAAAATTCTATTGGATACAAACCTTCATTAAGGACTGAGTAACTCTGAAAAGGTGTATCAAGCTTTCTTGGTTTTCATTTTTTATTTCATTTATTTGCACCTAAGTAAACAAACAAATAACTTTTTATTTTCTAATCCTTAATAAAAAAACACAAGAACTCTTTGAGATGTAGCATATATATATAATCTCAATCTCAGTTAAGCACCTTTGATAAGGAAACCAACAAATTGTCTGCCAGTTCTTCTTGCCGTGGGAGGTCATCTGGGTCAATTTTCATGATATCTTTCCAGTTTATATTAGGAGGCATGTTGAATTATTTCACCGTGCTTCTGCAACAAAATGAAGAGGGAGGTGGTATCATGTCACATGCATTAAGGATATTCTAACTGTTGAGACAGTTAGCAAAAATTTTTGCTACTTAATTACAAAACAAGTAGATGGACAAAACAACCTTGACCAGAAATGTAGCACGCCGCCTAAACTGGTTGAACAAACTATTGTACATACATATTAAATAACAAATGACGAAGTCCTTGTTGAAAACAATCCGTGATAAAAATTTGGTAGTTTTGGGTTCTATCTCCCACTATAATTCCTTCCGATCAAGGCGCGCGCGCAAATCTGAAGATGCTCAAGTGTCAGTGTACAGTGAAAATGATCCTTGATTGAAGCAGCAGGAAGAACAACAAAAGGGTTTAAATAACTAGTTAGGCCGGGTGGAGAAGGGATGGGGAGACGAGGACTCAAGGGAAAAGAAGGCAGAAAAACTGCCAACAAGAGGAAAAAAGGGTAGATAAACTAGGATGTTGCTTATGGGCCCTGAGACCAAAGAACCTGCCTGTAAGATTACAGCTCAGGCTCACCGAGAGCCACCCACCTAGATCAAGCCTGTCCACAAAGAGCGGCCGTTCATCTGCCGCCCCCCACCAAACAAAGCCCCGCTGCCGAGCCCAGACTGCTCCCCAAAGCGGTTCCACTGGGTCTCTAGGTCCCGCCAGCTGGTCCCGAGGAAGCCGAAGCGGCAGTGGCTGCTAGGCGACACCCTTCCCCACCCCGCCAAGGCCAAAGTAAAGCCCCGGATGCAAAGAGAGCCTACATTTCACGACGGCAGGTAATGCTTTACGTTCAGGGTCCCCAGCGGGATATCGGGGCTCGGTGCTGAAAAACCCCAGGCGGCGTGGGATGAAGACTCCAAGTCCCGGCGTGTTGTTCGGTGCAGGGGCCTGTGCATGCTGGGAGCTGAAGTCTCGGGTAGGTAGGGCGTTCCCAGCGTGCAGTGCGGGGGGACTACGAATCCACCGGGGCGGCGGGGGGGTGAGCCGGGAGGCTGGAGGCGCTGTGGCTGAGGTGCTTGGGCGCTGGTGGCCTGAGCGAGCGAGATCATGACTGTGGCCTCGGTGGCGTCACTCGCCAGGCCGCTCTTTCTGAGGTTTCCCTAAGCAGCCTCCACTTGAGCCGCTCCCAGGTGAGGTCGGGCTGTGGGTCAGGGGCGGGGGAAGGGTTGGGAAGCAGTGGTCCTGGTTTATTGAACTACCCCCGCATCTCATGGGCCCCACGCGAGGTTGAAGACGATAGTAAGACTTCGCTCACTCAGACACCCAGGGTGCTAGTGGCACCCAGGGTGGTGCCCTCGGAAAGGGGGGGGGGGGGAAGAAAGAAAAGTTGTAGCCACCTTTGGTGGCACGATCCAGCTCATGCAGTGGAGAGGGAGCAGTGCAGCAGAGATCGTGGTTTGGAGGGAATTGAAAATGGGAACCCTGCATTCTCCCGTGCAGTCTTACCTGTGGTACCTGTTCCCTTGCTCATCGAACGCTCCAAGGTTGTGGGATTAGTGTAGAGTGAAAACTCCAAGGGAAAGAAGTTAGCACTTAATAGTCCAGTGTGGGGGTTGGAGAGAGCAGTTGTTTCTCCCTTTCCTGGTTACCTTGGAGCACTCTTTTTTTATGCCATTTTTATGGACAATTGCTCTTGTGATCCTTGGTCCTGTGTGTGCTTCAGGGCTCCGAGCTCTGGTGACCTAGAGGCAATCAGTTCGAATCCAGCAGCTGCTGTATGGGGGGTGGAAGATGGGCATTCTCCTCTCGTGTGATTTACCGCCTCTGCAAAACCTCCTGGAGTGTCAACCTCATAACAGCTGTAGTAGCTTTGAAATATAAATGATGTTCCTAACTTGGAAACTGCGCTTCTCATTTTAATTTCTTTTCTTAAGAATGATAGTGGATTTTTTTCTTTGGAAAAGAAACACTTCTTTCCAATACACATATTTAGAATATAACAAAAACTACCGGAATAGAAAACAAAAACAGCTGATTTTTTTTCTTAGATCAGTTTGAATGACATCATGTTTGTAATGATACTTAGTCCTTTATTAACAAACATTATATGCCCCAAAGTGTTCACTACCTAATTTAATTTTCGTAGGAATTCAACAAGATCCATGTTTATGTCCTCAGTTTCCAACTAAGTTAAAAAAAACAAACAAAAAAACCCCAAACCAACCCAGAACTGAGGCTTGGGTAGGTCAAGTTCCCTGCTCAAACTTAAATACTCTGAACACCTTTCTGACTGGAGTTCATGTTCTTAATAATTGCTATGCCTTCACATGTCTGCTGAGAGCCATTATTTATAAAGTACAGGAACTACAACCTTTTACTTAAATATGTTGCATTCTAATTGTGTAGTTTTAGCTCTTCAGGAATTTGAACCAAAAATTCCTCTATTTAGTGCTTAGATAATTTATTGGAGAAGGTGGGAGTCAGATTTAAAATTAATTGAACATATAATGTGTTGGAAACTGCTTACTGCTACAAACTTATTTTCATAAACAGAATCTGTTATTTTTTATTGCAGTACGTTGTTCAGGTTGTTCATTATACATTATGGTTCATTATAACTGCTTATTATATTTATTGGGAAGGGAACTCTTTTGACATAGCCTGTAGTGAGTTGTGCTTTTAACTCAAAAGCTGGACCACCTCCTCCTTCATAGTGTGAATCCACCAGTCATTCTTTGGTGGAAAAGACGAGCAGTCTCCTCCTACGTAATTTACAGCTTCAGAAAATTTCTTGGAGCGTAAGCTATGATTCAATTCTGATTTCAGGCAGTGACTGACAATTATACTTATTCATTTACTTGTTTTGAATTGGGGAGTTCTTCTCTCCTGGTCTAATGCTGCTCATCCAAAGGCCACGCTTCTCTCATGGTTCGAATCCACTAGTCACTTCTTGGGAGAAAAATGAGTAAGCTTGTTAGTGTTAGAAACCTACTGCTGTCTCAGCTGAGGGGGAACCTACTTCATGGCAGTGAGAGAATTTGCTTTGTATGTATTGGTGTCAGCTGCCTCTCTATCGTGTCGTGTTTATATGCTCAGCATTTCTAAAGGACTGGCCTAAGTTTTAGTTTTAGATTTATGTTACAGATTTATGTTTCAGGATTGAACATAGGTTCAAAGAAGTTAAATAATTTCTTATTATTTGTTAACATTAAGATTTTAACAAAAATCCTCACTGAAAGCAGAACTGTATTTAAATTTCATTGTTGAACTCATTCTAGCAATAAGGTTGAAGTTACAGACTGTGCTAGACAGCAGGAATGTGGCAGAAAGCACGTTAGCTGTTGTCTACATTCTTAGTTGTTGCAGTCCTTTTTGTATCTAACTCTAGTGTGGAGAATTAGTTTACGTTCTAGTGCCATCACTTACTGTGTACTTTTGAGGAAAAAGGACCATTACTTTTCATCAAATTTTCTTCACAAATTCCATTTTCACACGTAGAAAAGATGTATGTATCAATTGCTTAAATGACCTTGTTATAGGAACACTTAGCCAGGACTTGCCTTCTTTCATCTCTAACCCATTATGAACAGTTTTGTCTCACCAAGATCACATCACAGGAAAGATTTGCCTTTTATAATTGCTACTTCTCTTTTCTTTCCCAGACCTCATCTTTCTGTTGAGGAGCAACTGGTGAGTTTGAAACACAGCCCTTTAAGTAAGCAACCCTGTGTTTGACTATCTGTGCTACCAGTATCAGTCTATATTCCTTAGAGGGTACTTCCATTCCCTTTTAAAAAAAAATGCCTTATCAGAAAAAATAAGTATTGCTAACTTTCTCGGTACATAAAAGGAAAGATGACCCTAAGAAATTTAATATGTGCTATTGTTTTGTTTTTGCGTTGTTCTCAAGGAGAGAAATGAGCTTATAGCAAGTTAACACTTGTCCTCTCTCAACAGGAAGAGACTGAAAAGTTTAGCGGGAGTCTTTGTAAATGCATTCTTTGCAAATTTTGTAGGCCAAACAAAATATTACACAGACTTACAGTCTATTGCTCTTAGTGAATAAGAATTTTTTTGGGGGAGAAGGGGGATTTCCAGTCATTCATTGTTGCCTCCTCCCCCCAATTCACTCTTCTTGAAGTGTAAAAGAAAAAATCTTTCCTTGTTATGCAGTCCCTCCCCCCAAGTCCACTCCACTGTGCAGCCTTCATTCTGGACTCCTGACAATAATACCTAATCATATATCCATTTTAAACAGTTTTCTCCCTCATCTGTTTCAATGCAGTATACATCATTCATCCCCTCTTTCTCTGTCTTCACCCATCCCCTATGTCAGTCCTGTTTTGCAACAATGGCACTATGCAATATTTGTCCTTTTGTGACTGAGATATTTCACTCAGCATAATGTCCTCCAGGGTCAACCATTTTGCATAATTTTTCATGAGTTCCTCATTTTTCAATGCTGCATAGTATTCCATTGTGTAAATATACCAGAGCTGCTCTATCCATTCGTTTGTTGATGGGCACTTGAGTTGTTTCCAGCACTTTCTATTGTGAACAAAGCCTTGAATAAGATTATTTTTCAAAAGCCTTTAACTTCAAATGACTTTCCTTTCAAGCCCAATATTATCACATTCTTGAAAAAAAGAACATTTATAGGTTTATTCCCGACCCACAGTCATTCTAGAATAATTGTCAAATAATTGAATGAGTGTTCACTCAATTATGTTGAAAAAAATGTATTAAGTTTTTTATCTCAATGATGTGCTTCATGTATAGCGCTAGCAGTGGCAGTCTGAAATTATTCTATATCTGAGGTGGAAAGCACCGATGCTCTAGTAGAACTTCCTTCTGTGGAAATAAATTTATTCAAATACATACTAAAACTCTTGAAAAGAACTTTGAAAAAAGGACAGTAAAAGAAATTTTTAAAATGTGAGGGAAGATAATTGATATAGTCTCTTAAGCCTAGATATTCAACAACCTGATAATATATATTCTTATAAATGAAAACAGAAATTAGAAGAGGTAAGAAATGTTCAACATGAGGAAATAGTAAATTTTTATTTTTAGATTTTTATTTTTTTTAAACATGATTAAGTGATCATACACTGCAACTTTATCACTGTATCTCATTATAACCTCTCAGGAATTTTCAAAAATTCTGCTGTCTTGGCCTTTTAGAAACTCTCTCACATTGATTCTGCGTTTACGTGATTGATTAGTAGTAATGGATATTAAGTAAGCAGAAGAAAGTAAAGAAAAGAAATAAAGTAAAGAAAGTTAGTGAATTGGGACTTGTTCTCCTACCTGCTATAAGATCACCATAACAATGTCCAAACTAACCTGTGACCCATCAAACCAGCTTTTCAAGCTAAGATTTCTATCCTTCTGCCTGTACAATCAGATATTAGTAAGGGAAAACTAGCCAGCTGTGTGGACCCAGTCAAGACTAACAGAAGAAAAACTCAGCTTCTCAGCTTGACCCAGCCAAAATATCTTTTTGGGTTTATAATCTGCTTTATTTCTGGAACTCTTTAGGACCAGCATAAAGTGTCAAAAAGATTTTGCATCCAGCTAGAAAAGAGGGCTGGAAGATCAACATGTAATATAGCCAGAGTTCTTTTGGAGAATGATTACAGGCCTACACCCATAGAAAGAGGAATCTAAGCTTTAACAAATCCTTCAGTTCCTGAGCCTTTTTCCTGAGATCCTTGATACCGTTAATTTTTCAGATTAATGTTGGCTAGAATGCTAAGAACTACAAAAAAAGACTTACCAACTTTATCCTATCAGCTTCAGACTCACATTCCTGGGTTTCCCTGAATCATTTACAAATTCATTTACTTTTCTGTTTCTGAAAGTTATTTTTACAATTTCCTCTCCTATTGTCTTTATCCCCGTGAGTTTTACCCTTGCTATTTAAAAAAAAAGTTACTGCCGTAATGTAAAGTAAGGAAGGAGCTGAGGTAATTTCCGTTTTAGTCTTTGATCTTATACAGGAGCACTGTTGGCTTTTAAAAAAATGTTAATAGGAATATACAGGTTGTATTAGGCTGCATTCTTTAGAGAAGGTAAACCAATGAATTATAGAGAGGGGAGAAGGGAATTGATTTATTTGTTTCTTTCTGGAAAATGGCAAGTTCCAGGTCTGTAGGTCAGACCCTCTAGAGAGGCATCCAGAGAAGCT